TAATGACTTCTTAGACTGACGCCTAATAAACAAAACCCAAGGTGGCTGCATGGATTTCTTCTTGGTAGCCTCAACACCATTCCTGCGATTCAGCATTCACACATGCATACTGAGTTTACTCAAAACTAGTCTGTTCTGCTTCTTCCTCTTCTTCCGGGTGAGGGGTCAGAGCCAGGGGTCCATGCGGTGTGGTCTGCAATCCAGAGGAACCCCTTGCCCTCCCCCCTCCAAAGTCAAGCCTTCTGTCTTTTGTTAATTTTTCTTCTTGCTGAGACACGCATTTAAGACTGGCCGAAGGGGTAAGGCCCGTGGAGCCCCTGGAAGAGAGTGAAGACAGTCAGTGATGGTAGACACAAGTGCAACTTGACAACCAAACCAAGTGAAAGAAACTATGGTTCCCAGAGAGCCAAACGAAGTCCCATGCACAGACCACATATGAAGGTTGTTCTTGCCATACAAAACCTTGCAGGGGCCAAACATCAGTCCATTTTGAGTTGCTAAGTGTCCTCACTAAATCACGCTATCCAAAGAGATGGGAGTCTAGGGGAGTGACTCCCTACCTTTGAATTTCTAGATCAGCCAGTGCCAGCTTCCTCCACCTAGGTCACAAAGCCTTCCTTCTTGACAACACTGTCTCAACACTGCTGTTAAACATCCTAGTACATCACTTCCTTTGCCTTAACTTCAGATGCAGGCTACTGCTGGCAAATGATCCTTCTAACAACAAAAACAACTGCAGCAGGAACAGCGACTGTCTCCTGAGCACCTCAATACCAGGCATGGTACTAGGAGCTTCACACATACTGGCTTTACTCCATATCTCAACCTGAAAAGCCAGGTGAGTATTATTATGTCTATTTTATTGATGAGAAAAAGAATACGTAGAGGCTAAGAGACTTGTTCAAGGTCACAGAGTTAGTAAGAGGCAGAGCTGAGATTCAAATCCAAGGCTCTCTTCCTCCCCACACTGCCTCCCCTAGGAAACCACATCTCTTCCTTGCCACATGATGGTAAGGTTTATTCCAAATTCCCAAAAAAGGCATCTTTTATGCTGCTTTGTTCGGTGGAAGAGGCTTCATAGTCTCACTTTCCCCCTGTTACACCAAGAAGTGTCAACACCAAAAGCAGCTGCATGAACATGCTGGAGGATGACAGAAGCGTCCACCCATCCTGCCCTCCCCCCTCCTTGCCCCCATCCCCAAGTGTACTTGGAAAGACCCAGTGAATGCCACAACTGGGTAGGGAAGGTGACTGGTGATTAGCCTCTCCAGGGTCCTACACCTAAAACTGACCCAGAGGGACCAAATGGGCGCTGAGAACAGAAGCCTTAGCCATAACCATGACAAATGACCAAAGGGGTTTCCCGAAGCTTGACAACTACGTTAGGAATCCTGAACCTAGGCACAACTCCGGGTAGGGAGGCACAAGAGTGTCTGGTATTATGTTTTTCATTAGCCTGATGGAATGAGGACAATCAGAATTTGATTGCTTAAAAAAAAAAAACGTTTCTTTGAAGAGAAATAAAAATACTTGGTTCCAAGGTTCCCAGTGATTAGAATCCCTTTTCAGTATGACTTTTTTTGTTCACTGCCATCTCCCCAGCACCTAGCATGGTGCCTGGCCCTTAGTAGGTGCTGATATATATTTGTTGAATTAATAACTGAAAGATGACAGATACTTCTCAGACTATTAGTCAGAACCCTACTAAGTCAGAGTAATATCGGCTCTTCCAAAACCAAGTAGGGAAAAAAGTTTTTAAACAGCTGCTTAGGCCTGGCACACAAGTGTCTGGGTCATGCAGTCCCAGGAGAGGCCTGGCTCTCCAAAGGAGGCTTGCTGGAGACACACAGCCCTCAAAGCTCCCTGCAGTGGGACGTAGGGCACACAGAACTGGGAGGAGGAGATCTGGGTTCTGCTCCGGCTTTGTACCAGCTCACCATGTGACCTTGGATAAGGTCCCTTCCTCTCACAGGATCTCAGGCTCATCTATAATACAAGAACCTAGAAAGGATGTTTCCAGATTTCAGGTTCGAGGAGTTGACAAAAAGTGCATGGCTTAGGAGGCTGAAAAACAGTGTTTCAAGGAAAATGCCCTCTGATCAGGCCAGAGGTCAAAAGTGCTAAGAATGGGGAAAGTGAGAGTAAAGTTCCCACCATTATTCCCCCCAGCAGAAAGCAATGAAATCGCTTTTGCATTTTGTTTTCCATATAAAGACTCAAAAGGCCAGAGGTGTCTCTAACTAACTGAAAACCCTGAGGAGATGAACTTGGAGGATGGGCAGGCCAACACAGATGAAGCATCAACTACGTGCCAGGTGCTGCTGTAGCACTTTAACACGCTCTCTTTAATCCTCACAAAGATCCACTGAGACAAGTACAATCTCCAAGCTCAGAGGGATGAGGTAACCTGATCAAGGGCACAGCACTGGTGAGTGGAGGAGCTGCTATTTAATAAAATGCCAAAATGCCCGGAGCCAACCATGCCTCTAGAAAGCAAGCTGAGGCTGCAATCATCAAAGCAGCTACAGCACCCACTCCCTCAACCAAGTGTGGGCTGGGGCAGAAACAGGCTCTCAGGTTTCACAGTACTCGAGGGCCTGGTAGAGGTGGAAATTAAAGAAGCTTAAAACAAGCTGCTCCGACTCAGTTCTTCCCAACTACATTCAATCATCTGGAATGACCCAAGAATAGCAATAAAAATCTTAAGATTTAGAACCAATACAACGCTCAAAGGTCTCTGTGCAGGAAAAAATGCAGAGAAACGAAAACCCGAAAAACAAAGAGTACCTGTTTTCTATAAAATCTTTACCTTTACCATAAGTTTAACTGTTTTCCAGTCCAAAGCTCCACACATTTCACATGGGCCTTTACAAAGCAAGTACTAGGCCTAGTGACTTGCCTGGAATGTTTGGAGAAGGGAGTTCATGACTTTGCCAAGGAGCTGTTGTGCATTCCCATTTTACAGATAAAGAAGTTCTATGCAATTGGCAGAGAGAGGAATAAAGACTTGCGCATTTTCAGATTTCCACTTGCATGCCCCAGCCCTCAGACCATTCAGTGTGGTATTTGACTAGTTCAGATTATGGAGTTATCACTGATTCTCTATTTACTAAGGTTCCTTGCCTTTTGGGAAGAAATATGCTACCTAATTGCTTTTCACCCAGAGAATGGTGTATTGGAGTTGTTGATGTTTAATTGGTACAGAAAGGAGGCTTTGTGTCACAAGCTCTATTTTCCTACCCCCCTTCCCGCCCTCAAATTAACTACCATTACTTCAAGAAAGGGCAAGGCAGCCAATTCTATTTCAAAACCACTTTATGATCTGGACTTCCCATATGCAGGACTATAGGTGTCACAAGCAGATCACAGAACACAGGCAACGCAACACCCAGTCGTAGAGGAAAAGCCTAGTGGAGATTCCAAGAACAGCTTGTCCAGGGTCTCCTGTGGCAGGAGGCCAAGTGGGAAGTGCCTTCCTCACCAGTGGGACAGAGGTATATTCGAAATGGGAGACCCATCCACATTTCAGGTTCCAAGACCCAGTGTAAGGGGTTCTGGTAGCCAATGTCCCCAACCTCAGCCTAAAAGTAGGGTTTGGCAATACACATAATGCTCACTCTCTTCTGGGGCCTAGCAACTTTTTATCTCAGTGAAAAGCAAATGCCAAACATTTTACCTAACCTGGCATCAGTGATATCTCCCCTACAACAGTCATGCCACTACTAATAAGGAAAACAGACCAAGAGATAGATGCATCAGAAGGCAGGCACCACAGAGCCCCGAATTAAACTCTGACTCAAGCAAAAATTGAGGCCACTGGCATGACTGCAAAACCCAGTGAATCTGACGGAGAAGGCCACCACCCTCCTCTAGAAGGAATCAGTTCCCACCACTTGAAGACTAGTAGCAAGGCTGGATTTATCCATGTTAATAAAGGGTTGGATAAACAAATCTGGAAAAGAACCCCTTATCTGACTCCAGGTCTAAGGTCAGTTCCCCAGGGCAAACCCAAATTCTACTGGAACTGGTTTTCAAAGGCTGCATTCTGTGGAGCAGCCTTACATTTGGGAAGGGACAAGAAATCGTTCTTGGTAAAGAGAAAAGAGCCTTCAGGTCCACAGGAGTTGAAGTGGTGCTCATTTCACCTGAGTCTTCCCTAACTGAACTGCTGTTATAGCTGTGAGCACAGGGATCTAACTTCTACTTAGAGACTAGGAAAGCCCTCTTAAAAGCACAGAAGCTCCACATTCACCAGCTAAGATAGAGATTCCTCCCTTACTTGCTGGAGAGGGGGACCAGAACTTCACCTCAAGCCGGCTGAATGATGACAGTAGTTGGATCAGATCCTGAACTGCACTTTCACTATGGCAATAAGAACTACTGCGAGCCAAAATTTGGCTAAATTTTAAGAATACTTTTTTAAAGAGGTCATTTATAGACATAAAAGATAAGCTCAGTCCCACTCATCACACTCTTCTGGAAAGGCAATTTAAGATCTAGTAGTTGTGATCTTATATTCAATGCAAACCTAAAAATAACCAGTTCTCTGATTTTTTTTCCACAAATTTATAGTTGCCCCTGTGAAGTAGCACAGTCACTTGAAGTCAGCAAATGATTTGGTTATCACTGATCTTATCTGAGTGTGAACCTACAATATCCTACAGTTCTTTCTAAAATTACACACAAGTCATAATAATCTTTCCAAAAAGAAGGGGTACTAAACAATTACCACTAAGAGAAAGCAGTAACTGTATGCCAAAGTTTACTAAAAAACAGGAGCCAGTTCTGTTTCAACTAGTATTTTTTTAAAAAGTCAATTCACCAATTTTCAACAGCAGAAAGCACAGTGCACTCAGGAGAGCAGGCTGCCCTTGCATGTGAGTGGATCCTGGAACTGTCAATGATCTGTGCCTTGTGCACTAAAGACTCACCCATCAGTAAAATGAACGAGTGACTGTGGAATACACTGCACTGGTGTGCCAGCTCTCTGGGCTTTTGACCTTCTGGGGGGAAAAAAAAAAAAAAAAAAAAAGCTGAAATTCCTAATGAAACTAAGATGTCTTACTGAGGGCTTTTTGGGTTACTATTTTGCTATATAAAAGCTTGCTGTTTAGATAAACCACCACAACACGGACACTTTCAGATACCTGTCTTTATTTTGCTTTTATTTGTGATTTGATTTAAATAAATAGAAAAGTTCACACAGGTTAATAAAAAGACAGGAGCTTTTGCTTCATGGCTGTGAAATAACATGCTCTCCTCGTGTATACTGATGGCAGCATCAGATAACACCCGAGGGCTCTCCTCCTCCTCCTCATTTCATGGGCCAGTCCAGGTCAGCGCTTCGCCCGCCTAGTGTTCTTTTTGTACCACTTATGTACACTGAATGCAAACACAGAAGAATACAGGGTTTAGTACTAAGTTCTGTCCTGATCCTGTACTGCAAACATGGTGTGGTGCGGTAAGGCCCTGCTCCCAGGGCTGGCCTGGATGGCAAGGACCGGAGACTGATGAAACCTGTTAGTCTCTCATTAACTAGAAATGAAGTCTGTATTGGAGTTAATGAGCAGGGCAATGAAAACTCTCTCAGGAATACTCAAACCAGGGCTCTTCCCTTCAAGGGAGGGCTTGCTGGTGGCACAGCAGGGCCATTTCAGCATAAGGGAACTTGCTGCAGATGCCTGAACACTGGTATTTAAGCCACTTCCATGTGACAGTCCCCCAAAATCCAAAGATGCATTTGATACACTGGCTGAGGACAAGTATGAGAACCAGCCAAGGAAGAGAAAATAAACCTACTTTTATGCATGAGAGCTGATCACAGGGAAGGCTTAGTTCACAAGCCTTCTGGTTGTAGCAAAATTATAGTTAAAAGTTTGACTCAGTTATAAGCATGCTGAACTGATTTTTTGAAACTCTGAAACCATTTTTCATACTTACCTCTGTAACAGTTTTTCTATTGCTCTTCACTTCTACAGTCTTACTGGGGACCTTTCCATCCATCCATCCATCCATCCATCCATCCATCCATCCATCCACCCATCCCTTCAACATTCACCCGTCTTCCTTCCCTCCACTTCCTTTCCTTATCCATCCATCCATCTATTCACCTTCCCTCCCTCTTTCCAGTCTTCCTCCATCATCCATCCTCCCATCCATCCAAAGCTCCCCACACCCAAAGGCAACTCCCAGAGCCTTCACCTATGCCCTTATGAACCAAGAAAATCACCATGAAGAATAAAGTCAAACTCACACATAATTGTGAATAAAAACACATTAGTTAAAGTTCTAAAAGGAGATGCAGGATCCTAGCTGAGTTCAACTCCCCCTTTCAGTAAAGATTTCAGAAAAAGCTATTTGCTATTTGGAATTTTAGCCCCGCAAAGGAGAGAAGCTTATGCAAGTTCCTAGCCACGTAGCCACTGGTGCAAGGAAAGAGACTGATGCACTACAGGAGTTCTGCTGAGGCCAGGGGGAGGCTGCCGGCTTACTTCCTCTCAGAATTTCTATTCAACTAGCTCTGTAAGCTTCTTTCAACTACTCTTCCCTTACATACCTTCACCTCTCCTTTCTTCCATCTCTCTTACAGGCATCACTCCCCAACTGGCTGGCTGATTAAGAATAAATTGTCTCTCTTTGGTCCCTCTTAGTCATATTTGGTTTCATCTTGTCACTGCCCTGCTCAAAAGCATTGTTGACACTGCTTCCTTTCACAATAAATCAGAACTCTCCTTTGCTTGGCTTTCAAAAGTCTTCCTCCAAAATTAACCCCACCTCTTTAAGCATACCTCAGTCACTGCAGCCAGGCTAGCCAGTGTCCATGAACACACGCTGCCTGTGGTTGCTTCTGTGCCTTCCTGCATGTGGTTCCTCTTCCCTCCAATTCAGTTTGAATCCATCATCCACCATGGTATCATTTTCCTGGCTATTCCTTCCTACAAACCCTTATGATCAGTTAAAAGTCAACTGGAACTCAATATATCTCATCTTCACTGAGCTCTCTTTCTTTCCTATGAGCTAGTCCCATCTATATAATCAGTAAATTCTTTGAAGACAGGGATTAGCACAAGCTGAGCACCCAGGAAGCCTCACTCATGGTTGCTAATACGAAAGCAACCTCTGGGTAAAGCAGTTTTAATTGACCCTTGGGCAGTGCAATCACAGGAAAAAGCCTAAAAGCCTCTAGTTTTCGCAGGGAACATCTACAGCTTTGGAAAGGGTTTCACTTTAAGTAGAACTCTAAGGAAGCCCGGAGCCCTAGTGGCACAGTGGTTAAGAGCTACAGCTACTAACCAAAAGGCTGGCAGTTCAAATCCACCAGTCGCTCCTTTGAAACTCTATGGGGCAGTTCTACCCTGTCCTATAGGGTTGCTATGACGGCAACGGGTTTTGTCGTTCTGTTTTTTTTTTTTTTTTTGTAAGGAAGCCCACATTTTACCCCTGAGAAACAAGTAATTTGAAACCTGAGTTCCGCCATCTATGCCAGGAGACAGATTCTCACACTTCTGAATTATACTTATCTGTTTAAACAGGTCATTTCACTAGTCATATCTTATTTGGAAACTTTCATCAGAAATTAAAATGTTACATTTAGAGTGTAGGGAAGAGAATGTGTCCTTACATCCAAAACAAAATATGCTGGTAATCATGGGAACACTTGCTCCATTTTAGCAACAAGACTGCCCAGCATCAGAGCAGCCTAAGACAATGCTCAGAACCCCAAAGCAAATAAAGTGGAACAAGACAGCTCTGAAGCTGTTGAGGTACAAAAGGGAGAGTTCTTAGAGATAACTTTTTATTCTCAGTCAGATAGTAATGCTACAAACAATAAAAGACATTTTCTAGGGCCCACAGTCTTGGCTTAATTTATTTTAAAAATGCACACAGGACCCATGCCAGTGCAAACACTAGCAAGGCTGGTAAAACTTTACTGGCTCTTCTGGGTTTCCAAAAAAGAATCATCTTAATATCATCAAACCCAGAGACTCCTGGCAAACCCCTTCTAGTACAGAATGTGCTGATCTGTGAACTGGGGCAGGTTCCTTGGTCGCTATGCTTCTTCCTCCTTGGCCACAAATTCCTTTGCAGCTCCCAAAGATGACCAAGGAGGTCTCTACAACCTGATGCTAAGTGTATAAACTACCTTTAAAGAACAGCCAACAAACTTTGCTTCCGCTAGCAAACAGTAGCCTAGAAGAACATTAGACTCAAACTGGGTCCCTGGGTTCCAGCTCATGGTCCATCCCCAATTTGCTGTGTGAATGTCAAGAGGTCATTTAACTTCTCTGTTATTCTGTAGAATGAGGATTAAAACTACAAAAGTCACAAGTGTGTTGGAAATTAAGAATAAGAACAGGTGCAGTAAGGGTGCTTTGGGAAGTCTGAAGTGGTTTATGTGCTAGTATTAAGTAGTATTAAGCTTGGTCCTTGGACCTCTTGTCTATTTATACCACTGGTTCTCAAGTGGGGGCAATTATGCCCTGACAGGACATTTGACAGTGTCTGGGAGACATTCTGAGTTGTTGCAACAGAAGTGAGGCAGTGCTACTGACATCTAGTGGGCAGAGCCCAGGGATGCTGTTAAGCTTCCCACGACAAAGAACTATCTGGCTCCAAATGTCAATAGTTTCAAGGCTGAGAACCCTGCTCTATACAGTTGTAGTCTCACAGCATAGATGTCATCCATGTGACATGACTCCTAAATTATATCTCTACCCAGACTTCTCTCCCAAATCCTGTATCCAACCTGGATATGCAACAGCTTATTTGACACTTCCATTTGCATGTTTACAGAAATCCTCCCTCCGTCTCCCTTCCCTTCCAATCTACTAGGGTTCTTTCAACCTTACCTGTGCAGCCACCAGCCTGGTTCAAACTACTCTCTTCCCCTTCCCCTGGTGGTCCCTGCTTCTACACTTGCTGGAATTCTCCATGCGAGAGCCAGAGCCATCCTTTTACAACATTAAGTCAGACCACATCACCCCTCGGCTCAAAATCCTTTAATGGTACCTTTTTCTCTCAGAGCAAAAGTCCAACGCTTTATGAGGACCCATACAGCCCTTCACGATCTGGTTTCCACCCTGACTTCATCTCCTTCTACTCACCCTCCCTCCCTCTGCTCCAGGCACTGGCCTCCTCGCTGTTTCTTGAACATACCAGGCAAATATCCACCTCAGGGCTTGCACTGGCTGTCCCTCTGCCCAAAATAGTCTTTTTCCAGATAGCCTTTGCAGAAACAAAACCTGACTTTAAAGAGACTTTAAAGTATGCTCTAGTTCTAAGTTCAAAGAGAGCTTTAAAATATATATTTTTTTAAAAATCTGCATCTTTTGGCCACAATCAACGGATGTAGACAGGTTTTGTGGCTTCAAGAGGTATAGCTGTTGCTGTCACAAGAAAAGGAGCCCTGGTTGTGCAGTGGTTAAGTGGACGGCTGCTAACCAAAAGGTTGGCAGTTGGAACCCACTAGCCACTCCTCAGGAGGAAGATGTGGCAGTCTGCTTCTGTAAAGATTATAGCCTAGGAAACCATATAGGGCAGTTCCACTCTGTCCTACAGAGTCGTTATGAGTAGGAATCTACTTCACGGCAATGGGTTTAGTTTTTGGTTTTTTTTTTTTGGTCACAAGAATGAGTTAATGGAGATTTCGATGCTAAAAAATATCTAAACCCAAGCGACCAGAAGTTTCTGGGAAAATCTTTCCCTTTTCTGGAGGCTAAGAGGAAGGCCGATTTCTGTAACTTCAGTAGTAGTCTGGGGGAGATGGGGTTAGTAGCAGAGAAGTCACACATTTATTTGGTCAGTAATTGGCTTGATCCAAATTTGAAATGTAGCAGTATACTAGAAGGCGTGCACTTCCTAGCCCACAGCTGTTAGCTCAGCTAATAAAAACATGTACTTGAACACTATTTCTAATTGTGAAGTGATGTAGTGCAATGTTAAAAAAGCAGGCTCAGGAGTCATATTGCTTTTGTGCACATCCTGGTTTTACCCCTTTCTAGCTGTGTGACCTCGGGAAAGTCATTTAACCTGTGTACTTCAAGTCTCAGCAACTGTAAAGTAAGGTTGGTAACAGTACCTATAACATGCGTTGTGTGGATTCAAGAAGGGAATATTTGTCGAACACTGAGCCTGTTGTCTCTGAGGAACAAGAACTGGGGTTGAGAGGCAGGGAGGTGGACTGGTGCTTTTTTGTAATAAGTTTGTAGAACTACTTGGTGCCTTAAACTACATACATTGATCATTTTAATAATAAAAAATTTAAAAAGTCCCCAGCACAGTGCCTGGCACAAAGTTCACAGCTCTGATTATTGTACTTTCATTGGTCTCTGCCTGAAAGTAGTGTACTTTTGCTACTAGAGGAGAACACAAGCTGGATCAAA